TCTCAGAATATGACTCCCAGCCAGGGGCAACTCTTACCCAGGGAGGGGACACTAACCAGAGCTCCTGAGGGGTTTACAGTAGTGGGCCCTGCCCTATCCCAGCCCAGCATCTGACTATTTCCTGGTCCAGGGGAAAGGCCTGTCCTTCCTCATCGTAGCCATGAGCGCTGTAGTCAACAGAGACGGGCTGCATTCCTCAGTGGGGGGAACTATAATCCACTAGGGGAAAGAGAGGCTTAGGGAAGTCAGTCATCTGGGAGGAATGAGGGCGGCATGGACAGCCAGCCAGCAGGGAGTCAGTGGCTAGACCTGGGTCCCTGCTCTCTCTTCTCCATCACCTCTAGGGGCTTCGCACATGGCAGGAAGGGGAGGAGGGAGGGGCAGCTGAGGAGGAAGGTGTAAGATCCAGAGAGAGGTACCATGTACTCTTGAGGAAGCAGCAAGAGGTCCTGTGGCTTGGACACGGCCCGTAATCCAAAAACACATCATCAGCCGCTGGGCTGGGGAGATGGCCCAGTCAACAAAGTGCTTGCTGGGCAAGCGTGAGAACCTGTGTCTGAATCCGTAGCATCTACACAACAGCCTGTAATCCAAGGGCTGAGGAAGTGTAGGGAGATGGATCCAGCCAGTGTGGCCAGTTAGTGAGCTCCAGGCAACAGAGACCTTGAGTCTAAAAGAAAAAAAATTTAAAGGTGGATGGCAATTGAGGAAGACACTCAATGAAGACCTCTGGTTTCCATGTGCACATGTATGAAGATACCCACATGGACATGTATATAGCATGAGCACACACACACACACCACATCGACATGTTTCCCAAGGCGGAGTGCTGGGAACTACATCAGCAGCACTATCCCTGAGTCTGAGGTCCAGGGGAAACGTCCATCCCCTGTTTGAAAGCCTAGACAACATGTTGCAGGGTCCATGTAAGATGAGAATGAAGGAAGGTGGCTGTCACCCACAGGGCAGATGCCGCGGGCAGAGTGCTCCCGGGAGGGGGGCTGCTGAGAAGAGATGGGGACCCTAAGGGTCATTTTCCTGTCACAGGGGGCCTAGTCTGGTAGGGACTCTGCATGCAGATAAATCCCGTCCCTCTGTGTCTTGGTCATGAGAGCCACCAGGTAAAGACTGTGGGTGAGTCAGGGCCACCCATCCACGCTACAGGAAAAACAGCTCAGAGGACATGCCCAGTGGGAGTGGGCAGGAGTGTCACCTTCTACCCGAGGGAGAGGAAGGTGTGTGACTGGAGATGAGTCCACTTGACGGACAGGTGATGAAGTAAGAGGGCAGAAGAGAGATGGCTCTCACAGGAACTCAGGGAGAGGGGAGGAGCCGTGGGCTCTGGGCGGCCTCAGAGAGACCCCTCAGCCTTTCCTCTTTGTCCCTTTCCTTCTCCCCAGCCTAACCCTGCTCCCAGTAAGACCCCCCCTCTAAGGAATTTATTCTAGGATTTCTGCTATTCTGCCCCAGAGGTGGCAATGGATGACCAGTGAAGGGGCTATCTCACTCCATGGGTAGCAGTGGACAGCCAGTGAAGGGGCTATCTCACTCCATGTGTGGCAGTGGATGGCCAGCCAGTAAAGGGGCTATCTCACTCCACAGGTGGCAGTGGACAGCCAGTGAAGGGTCTATCTCACTCCATGGGTAGCAGTGGACGGTCAGCTGTCTCACCTCAACCTTCTCTATGGCCGGCCTGTTCCTCCTATCCGTCCACATCTCCCTAAGGTTGGGGATGCTGGGATGAATAGAGTTCTCCCATTCTTATTGTTCGTTTTGCTTTTGTTTTTCCAGGCAGGGTTTCTCTGTGTAGCCTTGGCTGCCCCGGGACTCCCTCTGTAGACCAGGCTGGCCTCGGAGTTCTCCCATTCTTTGACTTGGACTTCCTGTCAAAGATTCCTCCTTTGAACTGGGGTTTCCTTGGGGGGAGGGGTTGCTCTAGCACCCCCAGTTCTCGCCCTATCAATGTGTTGCAATGTATTACACTGAGATTAACAGTAACGTGGGACATTTATAACAATGTAATACATTGAAAGTTATTTACAAGTAACAAATTGCTTGTTTGACATTTTAAAAATATTTATTTAATGTGTCTTTTGGCTATGTGTGTATGTGACTGCACCATATGGGTTCACCAAAGAGGCCAGAGTGAGCATCAGCTCCTCTGGAACTGGGGTTACAGCTGTGAACCTCCATGTAGTTGCTGGGAACTGAACCCCTTTCAGGGCATCAATTTCCAGCCCTGGATAATGGACACAGCGGGGAGGGAAACTGGGTAAGAGGGAGCAGATATTTAGGTAAGTACACAGAGAACTGGGAGCTTCTAGGCCCCAGACATGGGCAGGGCAGTGGGGGGATGGGAAGAGGGTGGACAGAGAAGACAGGAGGAGAGAGGCCAGGTGAGGAACGTGACCGCGTGGGTGGCTGGAAGCTGGCAGGAGGCCGAGAGAGACTGTGCCTCCTCCAGCCTGGCTGTCTTGGCCAAGGTCTGACGGCAGCAGGGAGGAATGTGAAAGAAGAAAACAAGACAAAGGATGCCTGCTCGGGGAGTGATGCCCACATTCTCAGACCACAAAGGCTCCTTTCCCTTGTCTTGTCCCTGCTGCTCTTTGCCCTGCCTCAGCTCCACTCCTTCCCCAGGTCCGGCTGGGGCCTGAGAGTCTAGGTAGGGTGGGGAGGCACCACAGGTTCCACTATTCTGTCTGGGGGTGAGGACTCAGGGGAATGTCTCTCCCACCTTTCCAAAGGGAATTCCAAGGTGAGAGCAACTGGGAACTCTGACCAGTGAGCCACCCTGCAGGGGACACTCCCTGGTCCCATTTAATTTACTCTTTCTCGTAATTTCCTGTTTGATCTTTACAAACCTTTGAAAGCGGGCAACTTTTTTTGTTTTGTTTTGCTTTGTTTTTTTGAGACAAGGTTTCTCTGTAGCTTTGGAGCCTGTCCTGGAACTCACTTGGTAGACCAGGCTGGCCTCGAACTCACAGAGATCCTCCTGTCTCTGCCTCCCAAGTGCTGGGACTAAAGGTATGCACCATTGCCCAGCAGAAAGCAGGCAATATTTAAAATAATCCCAGGGGGCTAGAGAAATGTCTCAGCAGTTATGCTTATGCGTGCCAACTGCTCTCCCAGAGGACCTGGGTTTGATTCCCAGAACCTTCCGTGGAGGCTAAGAACCACCTGTAACTCCAGTCCCAGGGAACCAATGCTCTCTTCTGGGTTCTTCAGGAACTACACGCATGGATTGCACTTACACACATGTAGGCAAAGCACACATACACATGAAATTAAAACAAGGAAATTACAGAAACAGTCCAGTAGAAGGAGAAGTAACTCAACGCTACATCACACTTGACCAACAGCCCGAGAAGAGCAAGGCCTCGGGTTCCATCTTCAGGGCTCTCACCCCTTCTCCCACTTCACAGGTGAAGAAAGAGATCAGAGCTTAGAGAGGGTTGGTAAATGGCTCGAGGTCCAGGACTAGGCAGGATTTAAACCCCTGTCATCTCAGTTCCAAAGCCTCGGTTGTTTTGTGGTCCCAGTCCATTGCCCAGCTCGGGGCTTACGTTCTGGTCACTGCTTTCTGCAGGGCTCCCTGGACTTTCTCCTTCCCAGCCCTTCCTCTAGGCACCAGCAGGAAGTGAAGGACCAGACGGCGGCCTGCAGCTGCACGTGGTTGTTCAGACTTAATTAAACTTAAATAAAACATAAAAACCTCAGTAAGTTACCCCAGTCCCCTTGTAAGCATTTGCAGCCTGTGTGGCCTGGGGAGAGCTGGGGTCTCATGACACCGGCCACATTCTCTATCACACAAGCCAGAACTCAGAGCAGGGCAGGGAGAAAGGGAGGGACCAAGCCAAGGGCTGGAGGGACAGAGATGCCCTTGTGAAGAGAGGGACATCTGGAAGGAGTCTGAGTGAGGGGAGGAGGGACGGAGTGAGGGCAAACTGATACTGATACTCCCACAATGCTAGTGAGCAATTGGCTGGGGTGGGGCCTGGGTTACAGCAGGAGGGAAGGACATGAGTGCAGGAGAAACCACCTCCTTCTTGGTGGGTCCCAGGGCTCTGACCCTCCTTCCTCCAGGGACCCAGCAGCTGATCCGGCCCTTCTTACTCAGGCTCAAACCTCGAGTGTTTTCTGTTTGTCCATCCAGGCCAAGGGGCAGGCTAATGGGCAGCCTGGCCACCACCTTTCCAATTAACCTCATTGGCCTCTTGCTCATCCTCCTGAGTCCGGGTCACTACCATGGGATTGGAACTGTGAGTGAGTGGCCTGTGAGTCACTGAGGCCCAGCTATGACAGGGGTCCCAACCCAGGCCTCTCCTTCATCCAAGCTCTGGTAACCACGGTGCCCCACCACCGCCCAACTGTCCCAAGAGCCCCCAGGAAGGAACCCTCAGGTTTTTCGTGTGTGGATGTTGTTTCTGAGAAGGGAAAAGGGCTTGCTCGGCAATGGGACACTTTCACGGGCCCGCGGCAGGCTGGTACTCAGGCACCCGCTCTAAGGGAGTCCGGAGTAAGGGCAGATCTTCAGATCCGAAGCAGGCGGAGAAGACTTAAGTGATAGAAGCCAAAGAAACAAGCGGATGGGGACAACAATGTGAGCCCCAGCAGAGTTGGGGACGGACAGGGGCAGGGTGCTTCTTGGGGTCAGGAGGGAAAGCTAAAATGTCCACCCTTCTTCCAGTGGAGGGACGCTGGGAACATGGGATCTGGGCAGGCCAGGGAGGGAAGAGCAGGGTGACTGGGTCCCTGGGTGAGAGTGGCCAACCTCGAGGGGGTGGACCCAGGGCAGAGCACCCTGGCTCTAGATTAGGCAACGAGGAACTCGGGAAGGCCAGCCAGGGTAGGGGCTCATGCCCAGTGGCCTCAGGTCCCCTGCAGCCATCACGGCTGCTGAGTAGACACATGTGATACCTGATTGCTTCAGCCTCCTGCCACACCAACTTCCCTCAGGCAGCCTCCCCCTCCACCTCTCCTCCTCCCCGCAGTGACTCCTGCCCAGAGAATGTCCAGCCCCAGCATAAAGGTCCCGGTGTCCATGAGCTTCTGTCAGTCTGGAGGCCACACCGTGCACAATGAGCACCTCTCGGGCACCCAGGATGGGGTGTGTGGGAGGGCACGGGCTGATGGCTTTGCTGCTGGCCAGTCTCATTCTACCAGGTAGGAGTCTGGGGCCTTGGGAGAGGGACAGTGTGGGACACAGGCCCTAAGTCAGAGCGGCTGGGGGCACCCAGGGCCTGCAGCACACGGTCCAGGAGAGGGGCACAGGCAGGGCCCTAGAGTCTGACTTTTCTAACCGGGATTGCTCCTCATCCTTGTCTGGCCACTTGCTTTGCTCCACGGTGGCTGAGCAGGCAGGCACTCTGCCTCTGCACCATCCTCCAAGTCCTGTGTAAATGTTCTGAGCTTGTTTCTGGAACCTAGAAATGAGGTGACTATCGCCAAACCCCAGGCTCCATCTCAGGTCAAATGACACCGGACACAGCTTCGGGAGTTCTAGATGGTGTGGGAGTGGCGGTAGCCCCGCTAGAAGATAGGATCTGGGTGTCTTATAGGAATAACAATTGCTACCATCTCCAGAACTGCCTTTTACAAGCATTTTAGATGTATGAATTAACTTGCATTCATTTATTTATGTATTTAGTTTATTTTTACTGAGGTGCTGGGAGTCAAGCCCCAGACCTCATGCATGCATGCTCGTTAAGTGATCTACTACATACTTGGCTCTCTTCGTATACATACATACATACATACACACACACACACACACACACACACATATATCTATATTTTTTGACAAGGTCTTGCTTTGTAGCCCAGCCTCGCCTCAGCCTCAGCCTCCTGAGAGCTAAGACGGCAGACAAGCAATTGCAGGCAAGCACCACCACAATGCTCCGCTTAGAGCCTTGTGAAACGCTAGACTGTAGCTAGCCCTTTCAACACACTCGTGTTCTGAGACCTGTGTGATAGATTTGCTCTTCCCATTCTGCAGCTCAGGATCCAGAAGGCCTGAGGGGACAGGAAACTGGCTTCAGATTGCAGTTAGAAGCAGGGCACCCAGGATCCTGAGCCCAGGCTGTGTCCTGCTCAGAGGCGTGAAGGGACAGGGGCGGGGGGTTTGTTGTGGGGTACCCCAGGGCTTTTCGAGATGAGGTTGGGGACTTTGCAGGTGACAGCAGATTGGCTGCTGGGGGACCACTCTAGCATGAATATTGCTTATGAACTGTGATGTCTCGTTCACTGTTTTTGGACACGTGGTCCAGAGAGATGCTATTAAATGGCCTTCCCGGTGGCTGTGTGGGAAGGGCATGGCGTTCTCTGCCTCTTTGACTATATCACCCAGAGAAGGTTAGTCACCTGCTGATGTGTGGCTCGGAAGGGGCCGTGGTGGGCAGAACACAGAGGTGAGAGCTTTATAGAGAGACTGAGGCCAAAGGAGCGTGAGGCTAGGAGCCGAGCGTCAGTGGGTGGAGGACAGAGGAGAGGCTAGAGGTCCAGGTCTAAAGACGGCTCACGGCAGCCAGAGTCAGATGCGGGCAGAATGGGGGCAGCAGGTGCATGTGACGGCTGGGTGGGGGAGAGGGAGGCTGATAATGGTCATGGGAGGAGGGTTCCATGGGCTCCCTGGGCTGGGACAGGGACAGCAGGGGTGGCTCAGGGTGCGGTGTCCTGTCACACTGGTACTGGCAGGTTCTGAAGCAACAGGTGAGTGCCCCCACATCCTGGCCCCCACCCAAGGTTTACTGGCATGGCCAGTGCTGGGGCAGGAAGCAAGCACCCGTCTGACCCATCCCTTCCCCAGTCTGGACTCTCACTAGGGAGCTGGCCACAGAGTACCAGCTATGACGGGTGCTCGTCTTCTGTAAGGGGCACCTCTGCCCTTTCCTGGGCTCGTATGTCTCCTTTCCTGTCTCTGCACACCCTCCCCCTCTTCAGGTGGTACCAAACCTACGGTCTTGTGCATGCTAAGCCAACGCTCTGCCTATGCCCTCATCCCTGTTTTGTCTTCTATGTTCTTCTGTTTGGTCCTACGGTCTGACCCGCGATTGTCCTGCCCCCGCCTCTTCACTCTGTCTGGTTCCTGACCTATGCCTTTCTGCCCCCTCTATCTGAAGGGTGCTCCTTCAATGCCCATCATTTCAGAGTTTTACCGTACATTTTTATCGAAGACATTTGACCTTTGCCCTCAATCGCCACAGCTAGAACAGTAAAACTGCCCTGATCCTGTCACCCTCATTTCCTTCACAGACAATAGCCAGTTCTTCCTTTTTCTACCTCTGAACTTGCCTGGGTTCCTCTGTGGAGACACAGGGCAGACAACTGGGATGGGGCTACTGGGGGCAGGGAGCCCCTGTTTCAATCTAGCCCTTACAGACCATTACTCTCCTCCAGGAACCTTGGCAAAGAGCATCAGGACCCTCTCAGACCCCTGTAAGGACCCCACGAGGATCACCTCTTCCAACAACCCTTGTGTCATTGGAAAGGCTGGCTCCAACAGCCTCAGCAGCCACGGTGGATCCAGCAGTTCCCAGGGAGGTTCTTCAGGATCTCTGATTTTTAAACCAGGAACAGGGTATTCCCAGAGCCCCTTTTCCTCTGGGTCTGGCTCCTTCCAGTCCGGAAGCAGCGGATATCAGTCTGGAAGCAGCGGATCTCAGCAAGGAAGCAGCGGATCTCAGCAAGGAAGCAGCGGATCTCAGTCAGGAGGCAGCAGCTCCCACTCCAGCAGCTCCCAGTCAGGAAGCAGCGGCTCCCAGTCAGGAAGCAGCAGTTATCAGACAGGAAACAGCCATTATCAGACGGGAAGCAGCAGTTCCCGATGGGTAAGCAGCAGCTCTCAGTCTGGAAGCTCAGGAGGCAGCACCCGGGAGGGACCAGGAAGTGGCTCTGCTCTGCCAGTTGATGACAACTCTTCCCGCCAGACCTCAGGCACCTTCCAGTCTGGAGGCTCTTACACTTCCCACAGCTCCGTGGTGTCTAGCAGCATCTCCAACCAGCGGCCCTGTAGCTCCAACGTGCCCGACTCTCCCTGCAGTGGGGGTCCTGTCGTCACACACTCGGGGCCCTACATCTCCAGCTCCCACACCGTCTCGGGCGGGCAGAGGCCTGTAGTGGTAGTGGTGGAGCAACACGGCTCCGGTGGCCCTGGAGGGTTTCAAGGCATGCCCTGTAGCAACGGCGGCCCCTCGGGCAAGCCCTGTCCTCCCATCACCTCTATCCAGAAACCCAATGGCGGCTACGAGGTAGTGGGAGGCTCCGCCAACAGTTACCTGGTCCCAGGCATGACCTACAGTGGGGGTAAAATTTACCCCGTGGGCTACTTCACCAAGGAAAACCCTGTCAAGGGCTCACCAGGGGCCCCCTCCTTTGCGGCTGGACCCCCAGTCTCGGAGGGCAAGTACTTCTCCGGCAATCCCATCATCCCCAGCTACAGTTCTTCCAGTTCCAATGCCTACCCAGCCTCGGGCATCGTGTTCCAGCCCGTGGGCAGTGGCGGGGTCCAGCCCTGTGGTGTCGGTTCTAAGGGGCCTTGCTCTGGTTCGAGAATTCAGATCACTTCCAGCAGCTCCTCTACCTCCTTCCACCCCTGCGGCAGCGGTGCTTCCCAGGGGCCCTGCTCCCCACCAGGCACCGGCTCCATCGGTGGGGGAAGCTCCTCCCTCTCCACCGGCAAAATTATCCTCCAGCCCTGCGGCAGCAAGTCTAGCTCTTCCGGCTACCCCTGCCTTTCCGTTTCCTCCTCCACACAGAATGGAGGTCTGAATGGCTCTCCTCAGTCTGTCCCCACCGTGGTGGTCAAGCCTTGTGGTCTCAACAGCCCTGGAAGGGTGCCCTGCCGTTCCATCCGGGACATTCTGGCTCAAGTGAAGCCTTTGGGGCCCCAGTTAGCAGATCCGGAAGTTTTCCTGCCACAGGGAGAGCCACTTGACAAACCTTAAGTCACACAAGACAGTCATCTCCCAACTGGAAGATGTTCAGGGGCCCAGTTTCCCGCCCGCCTTCCAGGAGAGCCCTATGCCGCAGGCTCTTGTCACCCTTATTCGGCGCCGGCAATGGTGGACTCCGTCCCTTTCCTCCTCTCCTGGTGCTGCTACCCCATTACGCTGTGGTGCCCCTCTCTGCCTGATCACCCACCTTAAAGCTCACTTATTCGGGTTCTTGACTGGGAAGTCCTTGAAACACTCCAAGTCAACCGTGCCTCTGCCCGTTTGCCAAATAAGGCGAGATCCAGCCCATCACCCCGCACTTCTCACTGACCTCTCCACCCTACCAGACCCACTCCCAGCGCACCCGTGCCTCCTCTGCTCGCCATCTGAGCCCCTGTTGGGTTACCACAGATGTTGCCCTGTGCGTGTGGACCCCCAGGGCATCGGCAGAGCCTGGCACAGACTCCCGACTCTCTCGGGATCCTGGACAGTGTTCAATAAACTTTGTGCAAACTTTTTGCTTTCCTGGAGTTCTAGGTCTCTTCTCTAGTACCTGGGCAGTACACCTCCTGTGCCTCTAGAGGGCGCATGTTCCCCGCTTCTCCGTAATTTGGCTCAGCGTTTTCTGTCGCATGCCTCCTCCCACGGAGAAGGAAAACAATAAATACTGATTGAACTGACATCAGAGTTGCCCGGTGTCCAGATTCTTGTTCTCCTCGTCTCACTTCTCAGCTCTATTCCCCTTCTGCTTCCCCCTCACGCTGGAGTCGGCACCCTCCTCTTTCCCTCCGAAAAGCCCTCATTATTTTCTTCTCTCCCATCTAGGCTTCTCCTCCATTAAGGAGCCTCACCTGGGAAGGTGAGGCTCCTTACCTCACCGTCCTCTCTGGGAATCCCTAGAGTCGATCTTGAGTTTCTGGGACGCTGGACCAGCTCAGGCAGATTCCTGGAGACTGAACAGGAGCCTGGGTGTTCTGAGCACTGGGGGTGGGGAGAGGAAGACAACATCCCAGTGTGCTGCCCTGCACGGAGCCTGGTGACTCACTGGCCTAGTTAACACGGTTCTGTGACAGACAGAGCCTACAGTGCCTCTCCACCTCCTCACCCCTGAGTTCGCTGTGGCAGACTAGCGCAGGAAGGAGTGTGGGTGTCCCTATAGGAAGGCCCTTATTCCATGTGCAAGGCTCTCAAAACTATTGGAAAGGGAGCTTCCTGCAGACCCCAGTGCCAAACCCATTCCCCTACTTTTAGGAAGAAGGGAGCAGGTGCCGAATCCACAGTGGCTGAAGCTTCAAGTCTAGGATCAGAGGCTTCCCACTGGACAGATGCCCTGGGCAGTGATGCTGGCTCTCAGAGTCCACTAGGACAAATCAGGCTCCCAGGCAGCCCTGTTTCTGTCACTACAGAAGAGTCATTGTTCCCAGGACAATTGTTCATGTCATTGTTCATGGAGACATGAAAGATGGCTCAGCTGTTAAGGGCACTGATTGTCTTCCAGAGGAGCAGGGTTCAGTTCCCGGCATCCACATGGCAACTACCAATTGTCTGTGACTCCAAGATCAAAGACTCACACCTGCAGGCAAAATGCCAATGTACATAAAATAAAATTAAAGCAAACAAACAAGCAAACAAAAACCTGAACTTGAAAAAACAACCCTCAGAGTCGCCAAGGATGGGAACCACAGGAGAAGCTGACATTCAAACAGGACTTCTCTAGTCTCTGTTTTGATCCATGTTAAAAATTTAGACATAACAGGCATGGTGTCACGTGCAGAGGCAGGATAATTTCTCTGAGTTCAAGGCCAGCCTGGTCTACAAAGTGAGACCCTGTCTCAAAATAACTACAACAAAAATTAATCAGGGAAAATTGATGTAAGTCACCCCAAAACAGGGACCAAACTCTAAGGTTCCCTACTGGTCAGTTCAGGAAAGAACTTGTTATTCCCTATGGCTGGTGGGGTGGGCGGGGGCGGGGCTAGAGAGATCAGCTGACAAAGTGTTTCCTTATACAGTCAGGGAGTTGGGAACAAAGGCCATTAAGGGCCAACAGGATGGCTCACTGGATAAAGCTGCTTGCCCTGCTAGGCTGCTGGTGTGAGTCTGCTGCCCAGAACCTACGTAAGAGTAAGGAGAGAGACAACTCTTCAAATTGTGGACTTCCACCTGCACGCTGCGGCCCATGCATGCCCACACAGACATCATACAGGCACACAATAGAATAAGGTTTTTGTTTTGTTTTGTTTTATTTTGTCTTTTGAGACAGGGTTTCTCTGTAGTTTTGGAACCTGTCCTGGAACTAGCTCTGTAGATCAGGCTGGCCTTGAACTGACCAAGGTCCACCTGCCTCTGCCTCCTGAGTGCTGGTATTAAAGGCATGCACCACCACTTCCTGGCCAATAATAATAAGTTTTAAAAATGAAGAAGGCAATTAAATACTTTTTGTCCATTGTGCCTGGTGGTATAGGCCTGTAATCCCAGCTATCTGGAAGTCTGAAGCAGAAAAATGACAAGTTTGAGGCTAGCCTGGGGTACAGAGTGAGCTCAAGGCTTGAGGCTAGC